TTATTCACCAGTGTTAAATATGATTTCAAATCATGACATTCCTTTTCATGTTTTACAATTTCTGAATTTTAACTCTACATACATATTTAAAATGGATGTTATATAATCATTTAACCACAATAGAACTGGTATATTTAAGTAGATGATTGCAAAACCATAATTTCTTTCACTATGTTTCTATAATTCTGAATTTTCCATTGCATTCCTTCTGTGGAAATAGCTGCAAATTTTATCAAATAATTGTTGGATTGTATTTCATTTAAACTCCAAAGTTTCAATATTGAAATGATAGAGCTACATCTATGAAAATAATATTCGTTGCAAAATTATGTAAATTTAAAATCCTGAGGTGGAGCTTGAACTAACAGCCTTCTGACTCAAGCGAGAGACAGAGTGAACAGACTGAGTGAACACCTAGACTGAACCAGTTTGACACCTAAATTAAGTGAAAACATCCACCATGATCTGATAAAATGCCACAACAAGCTTGACAAGCTGAAAAACCTCCTTCTGTTCTTATATGGACTCTGGAGTCCTGTGGCTCAGTGGTTAGAGCACTCGCCTCACAAGCGAGAGACCTGGATTTGATTCCCAGCAGGGCAAAATGTTGAGCAAGTTTCCTTACTCCACACACCACTGTTTACCCAGCAATAAGTAGGAATCCGGTTGTTAGTCAAATGGAGGATCGCTTTTCCAGGAGTAATAATTCCTTAAAAAAAATTGGTCACTCAATCCACGACTGTTTATGGGACACTGTGTGCGCAATTGGCTGCTGTGTTTCGCTCACAAATATACAGTCAATTCACTTTACAGTACATTCTGTGAAGCGCTTTGAGACATCTCGAAGACGTGACAAGACACCCTATCAAATGCAAGGATTATTATTACATTCTGAACTAATTGGAAAGCTAAATACATTTAAATAATTTGTTTTTAATATTTTCATTATAACTTGTCATGTAATTTTGTTGTTTTATCTTCAGATGCATCTTCTGTGTTGCCTTTGATTGGAGTCCAAATAATGCTATTCTTTTTCAACAATCATTTAACCCTTTCAGTACATCTTCCCCAAATTAATTTTGTAGAATTGCCATTGAATAGATACTTTTGGAAAATATCATTCGTAAAATTGGTTGTGTCTCATGTCTAATTTCAAATTGTGAACAGAATAGTTCCAGGTTCAACACCATTTATGCCATATACAGGCATGTCTCCTCTTGTGGGTTTCTTTGATGGTTTCAGTTTAAGCCAATAATTCTCCCTGACCTATTTGCTTTCCATTATTCAGCAATAAAAATTATAATCTTGATTTGATATAGCACCTTATCACTTTGTCGAAAGTTTCAAAGCGCTTCACAGAATATACAGTAAGTGAATTGACTGTGTATTCTGTGGGTGAAATATAGCAGCTAGTTTGGGCACAGCAGTGTCCCACAAAAAGTCATGGAGTGAGTGACCAATTTCACTTTCGGGATTGTTGGCCCGGACGCCGAGAGAAACAATCTTCTCTTTTCGAATAGTGCCAAGGGATCTTAATGGCCACCTGAGTCTTTGTGAAGCGTTATCCTCGTCAACAACAACAACAAAATTACATTTGTAAAGCGCCGTTCAAGTCAGTAGGATGTTCCCAGATGCTGGACAGTTGATGTTTCGGACCCGAGCTGGAGGTCGGGATTGGGGAGGGGGGGAAGCAGGGTGATTGAAAGCACGGTAGAAGAGGAGGGTCTTGACTGGGTCTTGAAGGAGGCAAGGGAGGGGGCGAGACGGAGGGACTGCAGGATGGAGTTCCAGAGGTTGGGGGAAGAGTGGCAGAACGCCCGCCCGCCAATGGTGGGGACATGAAACAGGCTGGAGCCCGCTGAATGGAGGGAGCGAACAGTATGGTAGGGGGTTATGAAGTTGCAGAGTTAGTGGGAAGCAAGGCCATGGAGGGCTTTGAAGGTGAGGACCAGGATCTTGAACTGAATCCTCTCTGTGATGGGAAGCCAGTGGAGTCAGGCGAGGATGGGGCTGATAGGGTCACGGAGCCTAGTGCGGGAGAGTTCTGACTGATCTACAGCCTGTGGAGGGAGGAGTTGGGGGCCGACAAGCAGGGAATTGACATAGTCAAGCCTCGATGTTATGAATGTGTGTGTGAGGGTTTTGGCAGCCTGCGGTGTGAGACAGTGGCAGAGCTGGGCGATGTTGCGTAGGTGGGGAAGGCAGAGCAGGTCATAGCGCAATGTGGGGTAGAAAGGATAGTTGAGGATCAAACAAGACCCCAAGGTTCGGGACTGGCTTAGCAAGGTGGAGTGAGCCCCATGGATGGTGATGCTGTCAGCGCCTGAGGTGAGGAGACGTTTGCCAACATCACCTTAGATTCGTGAGCAACAAAGGCAAAGACGCCTTGGGACGTCCGCTTGACATGAAAAGCGCTTTACAAGTGTAATTTTGTTGTTGTTGTAGACATCCAAACTAAGAAATATTTATAACATCCAAATCAGTCTATTGTTAAATTAACATTAACATGTTGCTTGCCATCTCTTTTGCACTTACAGAAATGTATGATGTTATATTCAATATTTTATGTCACAATTACATCACATTATTCTGTAATTTAAACTAGGATATGCGTGACTTGCATTTAGAGTAGAAAGTAGGTCATTGGTAATGCTCTTACTTAGAAAATTCTTCCTTTCCTAAATTGATTTGAGCTTCTTTAAAATGAAGTAAATTAAAAAAGGATTTTCCCCTACAGGGCTTCAATTCACCTGCAGACTTCATTCACAAATGTATTACACTCTAACCTCAATGGTGTGTTCATGGCATTGCAGCAGTCAGATTACCCAGCATTTTTATAAGGTTTAATGATCCCTTTTGGGAATCAGGTACTTGCAGAAGCTGCATCTAATAATTGTATAGCAATAGCATTCATTAAAATGGATTTCAACTACCACATACAAGTGGAACATTGCCATCAGAAAAATCATCACCGGGTTGTGCTGATGAATTGGATGATTTTCCTTTCATTCCTCCTCCAACTCTGCTGTACATAGGATCTCGTTCAAGGCTGTGACCTGGTACTTTTCTATCTATGTTGCCTCCCACATTTGAAAAATTCATATTTTCTGTTTACCATTATTTTCAGTTTTTATCTTGTAAGAAGATCTATAGAATCAATGAGTAAAGTAGGTCACTGATAACAATACGACCATTTGCATAACATAACAGCTAACACGACTATGAGATTTTACTTACTATTAACTAGGTTTTCGATTGAGAAAGTTCATTAAGTTTGTTTGCAATAACAGTCTACATGGTTTTGTGATAAAATTTGCACACCTCTTAATAGCTGGTAAATAATTGGAAGATGTATGTTGAATTAAGGTTTTATCTCCCTGTCCTCTCTGAGTTAGGAAAAATATGTGGCACATAGAATAAAGCTGAGCCCAGTATGTTTTCATTTATTCTTCAGCCCGAAGGTGAAGTGCAGAGTTACTGTATATAAAATGCTTGATGCCGTGAAGAAATATCTGGAAAATATCTTCAGAAGTGCCAAGGGAGGTAGGACAAGAAGATACAGGCTCAGGGTTGTGAAGGGCGAATTTAGGACTGATTCCAGGAATAATAATAATCCTTGCATTTGATATAGCACCTGATCACGCCTTTGAGACGATTCAAAGCGCTTCACAAAATACACTGTAAAGTGAATTGGTGATATGTTATGTGGGCAAAATGCGGCAGCCATTTGCTCACAGCGGTGTCCCACAAACAGTTGTGGATTGAGAGACCAACGTTTTTTTTGAAGGCATTATTACCCTCGGAAAAGCGATCCACCAAATCAACTAACAGCCGGGTTCCTACTTAACAGAGGCATGTGGAGTAAGGAAACTTGCCTAAGGTTTCGCCCTGCTGGGAATCAAACCTCGTTCCTCTTGCTTGCAAGGCAAGTGCCCTAACCAATACTGTACAGGACTCCACTATAGGAAGTATTTGATTTGACAGCACCAGCTTAGGTGGAACAATATCTTTCTTGAGGTGAATAATAGTAGAGCTCTACTGTTATTATAAATGGAATCAGACCTTCAGCCTCACCACCCCCACCCTTTGGAACTCCATTACACGTTCCCTTTTCATGTCCAGTTTCTCTGACTTGATAAATTAATCCCCTAATTCAGTACAAACATGCCCACGAAATACACAGTCAAACCACTCTATAGTCTGTCTAGTGAAGCCCTTTGAGATGTCTCAACGGCGTAAAAAGGCTATGTCAAATGCAAGGATTATTATTATTATAGATCGGGAAGGTTGAATGTTTGCTCTCTGATCAGCGCTGAGTTAGCTGATCTCAAGCAGGTGGCAGTTATGGTCTTAGCGCTTCTAGTTCAGCAATATTGTACTGAGTCACTCAGCCATAATTATTAAACTTCATCAGCTTCAACATATGTAACAACAACAACAAGATTGCATTTATAGAGCGCCTCTCACGTCGGGAGGACGTCCCAAGGCGCTGGACAATTGAGTCGGGACCCGAGCAGGGAGGAAATGGTCAGCGTGAGGGGAGGGAAGGAGCGAGGAGGGGGTAGAGAGTTGAGAGGGGAGCTGAAGGCACGGTTGAAGAGTGGGTGGGTGAGTAGGAAGTTTGGCCATTGAACTTTTGCCAAATTGAGATTGAAGTGGGTGATAATCATGTACTATAGCACCAACTGGTGTTACTTTGCTTTAAACTAGATTCCAAAGATGGGCAAGATATGGAGAGAAACATTGATATGGGGTGGGGGGAAGGGTCTCAACAATTGTGTTTTGGTTCTAAAATACATTTTATTTTTTAAAGGTGTTCAAAATGAAATGTTCAACTGATTTAGTTTTAAAAGAACAACTATGGAAATCTATTTTGAGTATGACAGGAATGGTGTTTAATGTGAACAGTTGCCCTTGAAATATAATTCTCTTAGTCAGACCTTCTCACTGAAATGTTTCTATAGGTCATTGAGAATCATTTTTGCTTTTTAATTTTTCAGGAGTGTGCCTGAAGCAACGTGGGATGGGAATGAAAACTGCTGGGAACTGAATAGACAAGGCCCAGTATAGTGACAACTGCATCATAACAGGACACACCCACTGGGGACATTTTCTTAACTCTGCCATGACTTTCAGATTCACCATGGAAAATTTCTCATGGCTTGGCAGCTAATACAGTGCCAACATAACGAGCAGCTTGGAACTTCAATGTTTGTACCCCTGTTTCAGGTGATTGTTTGCAGATGAACCATATTGCAGTTAGAAATGGATTCTAAAGAGCTAAGATGGAAGTGTTGTGGCTGCTTCCTGCACTGAGGATGGATTAATGTTCGAACTGCAAACATTGTGTGAAGAACAGTATGCAGGAAGCTGGTTTTCGAGCCACAAATGCTTTAAAAGGTAAGTGTTATTTATATTATTAGCGACAATATGTAATGTAAAAACTTATCCGAGAAACAAGATCACTCACTGGACAGAAATAGCCTGTTCTTTGTTACCTTAGTTCACAAAAGTGACCAAAATGTAACTTAACTGAGTAGCTTTACCAATTGGTCTATTTTGTAAATAACCACGAAAGAGCAAAAAAACTGGCAAGTGGAGCATGGGGTTGAATAACTCCTCCGCAGCCAAAACACTCGTCCATGCATCCATCATCTCTCGACTCGACTTCTCAAATGCTCTCTTTGTCAGTCTCCCCAGCTCCACCATGCACAGGGTCCAACTGATCCAAAACTCTGCCGCCCGCACATACTCACCTACACTAAACTCCATAACCCCATCACACCACTCCTCGCCAGGCTCCACTGGTTCCCTATCACACACACTAAACGCCGAACCCTCATCACACCAGTTCTAGCCAGTCTCCACTGGCTTCCTAATGTTGAATGGATCGATTTTAAGATCATCATAATTGTTTTCAAATCCCTTCATGCCCTGGCACCTCCCCTACCTCTCCGACCTGCTTACCCCCAACCCACAACCTGCTGCCTCCACTTGACTGGCTCCAGCCTCCTGCATGTCCCTCGTGCCCTCTGTTCCACCGTTGGTGGCCGCACTTTCAGCCACTATTCCCCGAAACTCTGGAACACTCCTCCTCTATCCTTCCGCCTGCCCGACAAATCTGGCTGGACCTCCTCAAAATTTACCGCTCCACTCTAGCCTCGGCCAAGTCGTCCTTCTACTCCAGGATAATCCTGGAGGCGAAGAACAACCCCAGGCTACTGTTTTCCACCACAACCCGACTCCTCCGTCCCCCCGCCACCCCGCGCAGGTCATCTCCTCCAACCTTCACTGCGAGGAGATGCTGGATTTCCTTGAATCCAAGATCAAGGGAATTCGCTCCGCGGTCACTTCCCCTCCAACATCCACCAACCCCCCACCCCCTCACTCCCACACTCCGACTGCTACCCATCCTCCACTACTCACTTTTGTACCCGTTTCCCCACCCTCTGTCACCAAACTCATCCTATCCCTAAAACCAACCACCTGCTCCCTTGACCCCATCCCCACTCCACTCCTTATCTCCCAGCTCCACTTTCTTGCCCCACATATCACCGACATCATCAACCTGTCCCTCTCCTCTGGCTCTGTCCCCATTCCCTTAAAAACTGCCACCATCACGCCCACCCTGAAAAAACCCTCCCTTGATGCGTCGCAGCTATCAAGCTACCGGCCCATCTCCAACCTCCCCTTTCTCTCCAAGGTCCTGGAAAGAGTTGTCGCCTCCCAGCTGCGCTCTTTCCTCTCCACCCATTCATTACTCGAACCCCTTCAGTCAGGTTTCCGTGCTGCCCATAGCACAGAAACTGCCCTGGTCAAGGTCACCAATGATATCCTGACCATCTGTGACCAGGGCTCCCTCTGCCTCCTCGTCCTCCTCGACCTATCGGCAGCATTCGATACGGTCGACCACGCTATCCTACTCCACCGCTTGTCCTCCCACCTCAACCTTCAAGGCACTGTCCTTGAGTGGTTTAGGTCGTACCTCTCTCACCGTCTTCACTTTGTCTCGACGAATGGCTTCTCCTCCACCCCCCGTACTGTGGAGTCCCTCAGGGCTCTGTCCTCGGTCCCCTCCTCTTCACCCTCTATATGCTCCCCCTTGGTGACATCATCCGCAGACATGGAGTTAACTTCCACATGTATGCGGATGACACCCAACTCTACCTTTCCTCCTCTACTCTCAACTCCACGACCACCGATGTCCTGACAGCTGCCTGTCCGACATCGAGTCCTGGACGAGAGACAACTTTCTTCAGCTCAACGTGCGAAAAACCGAGGCCCTCCTGATTGGCTCACGTCAGCGCCTCCGCACCTCAGGCGCCGACACCATCAGCATCCAAGGCTGCACTCTCCACCTCTCAAAGCCAGTCAGGAACCTCGGCGTTTTGTTCGACCCTGAGCTGTCCTTTCTCCCTCACATCCGCACCACAACTGGCACCGCCTTCCATCACCTCCGGAACATCGCCAGACTACGGCATTACCTCACCCCTCACGCTGCTGAAACCCTGGTCCACGCCTTTGTCACCTCAAGGCTGGACTATGGGAACTCTCTCCTCGCCGGCCTTCCCGCCACCTCCCTCCACAAGCTGCAGGTCATTCAGAACTCTGCAGCTCGTGTACTGTCCCGCACCAGGCTTCGGGACCACATCACTCCCACCCTCGCTCGCCTCCACTGGCTCCCCATCCCCCAGAGGATTGATTTCAAGATCCTCATCCTCACCTACAAGGCCATTCACGGCCTTGCTCCCTCCTACCTCTCCAACCTACTATCCCCCTACCTACCTGCCCGTACCCTCCGTTCCTCCGGCTCCGGTCTGCTCCACGTCCCCCGCCCCAATCGCCCTACCATCGGTGGTCGGGCCTTCAGCCTCTCAGCCCCGAGGCTCTGGAACTCTATCCCCCAGTGCCTTCGCCTTGCCTCCTCCCTCTCCTCCTTCAAGGCCGGTCTCAAAACCTTTCTCTTTGACCGAGCCTTCAGCTCCCCTCTCGACTCTCTTCCCCCTCCTCGCTCCCTCCCTTCCCTCCCCTCACCCTGACCATTTCCCCCTCCTCGCTCCCTCCCTTTCCTCCCCTCACCCTGACCATTTCCCCCCTGCTCGGGTCATGACCCAACTGTGCAGCGCCTTGGGACGTCCTCCTGACGTGAAAGGCGCTTTATAAATGGAATCTTGTTGTTGTTGTTGTTGTACCAGAGGGAGCCGGTGGATTTGGAAACAACCCTGGAATTCAGGGGAACCAGGGAATTGAAGGTTGTGGAGAGATGGTCATTCAGCAGATTGATTGCATCAGGATCACTGCAGGTGGAGGGCCAGAAGGAGAGGAGGTCCGAGGAAGAGAGGGCATTTGTGAAGGACTCAGGGGGAAGTTTTTTCCAGGGGCGGAAAAAAATGGTGGCAGGGCTTGGAAGAGGGGAGGGGGGTGTGGGAGGAGATGGCCTAGTCCGTGATTGATAGGTCGGAAATGTCAAGGCCATGTGTGATGACGAGGTCGAGGGAGTGACCACGGTTGTGGGTCAGCGATTTGATGTGCAGGGTGAGGTTTAGGGAGGGAATGGAGGGCAGTGAAATCGGAGGAGGTGGTGCAAGGAGACTTTAAGTGGAGGTTGAAATCACCCATTATGAGCGGGTGTTCAGTGCAGAGGGACAGGGATGAGAGGAGTGAGGAGATATCGGTGAGGAAAGAGCCAGGAGAATTGGTGTGGGAGGCAGTAAACTATGAGGATTTTGAGGGAGAAAGAGGAGGGATGGTAGAGGGTGTGGTCAGCCAGAGGAATAAGGGGATAGACCAAGGGAAGCTTAGGAGATGAGGGCCACCCCACCGCCACGTTGGTTGGGGCAGGGGGTGTGGTGAAAAGTGTAGGCAAGAGGGGAGGCTTCAACGAGGGGACAGGGTCACCGGGGGAGAGTAAGACCAAGAATATCAATGTGCTCATCCAGGATGAGGTCGTGGATAATAAGGGCTTTGTTGGAGAGGTAGCGGCCATTTTGGAGGGAAATGTGGATAGGTTTGCTGGTGGAGAATGGTATGGAGAGGATTTGAGGTCATCGGGGAGAAGTGACCATGGAGTTTGAGGAGCAGGGAGAGTTGGAGAGGGTATGGATGAGGGAGGGGGAAGGGGAAGAGTACATCCCTTTGGGAAGAGAATATGCTTTGCATTTTAAACACAATGAAAGTTCTATGTGTAGATGACGCACTTAGAATCATGAAATTATACAGCACAGAATGAGGCCATTCAGCCCATCATGTCTGTGTCCACTCTTTTAAAAGAGCTTCCAAATCAATCCCACTCCCCCGCTCTCTCCCCATAGCCCTGCAAACTTGTCCTTCTCAAATAATTATGTACTCTCTTAAAAGTTGTTATTGAATCAGCTTCCACCAGCCTTTCAGGCAATTCCAGATCCCAGCAACTCGCTGTGTAAAAGCATTTTTCCTCACCTCACCTCTGTTTACTTCAACAATTATTTTAAATTGGTGTCCTCAGGTTACCGACCCACCCGCCAGTGGAAATAGGTTCCCTTGTTCACCCTATCGAATCCCCTCATAATTTTGAAAACTTGTATTAAGTTTCCTCTTAACCTTTTCTGCTCCAAGGAGAATAATCCCGGCTTCTCTCACCTCTCCTGATAACTGAAGTCCCTCATTCCTGGTGCCATCCTGGTCAATCTTCTTTGCACCCACTCCAATGCCTTGATGTGCCTCCTAACGTGTGGGGCCCAGAACTGAACACAGTCTCCAGCTGAGGCCTCACTAGTGTTTATAAAGGTTTATCATAACTTCCTGACTTGTGTATTCTATGCCCCTATTTATAAAGCCGAGTATCCCGGATGCTTTTTTTAACAGCTGTATCTGCCTGTCCGGCCACCTTCAAAGATTTACTATATGACCCCCAGGTCTCTCCGTTCCTTCACCCCTTTTAAGATTGCACCATCAGCTAAAATTGCCTCTCCTCATTTTTCCTCTCAAAATGCATCACTTCGCATTTCTCCACATTAAACTCCATCTGCCACGTGTCTGCCCGTGTTACCAGTCTGTCTATATCCTCTTGCAGTCGGTTACTATCCTCCTCATTGTTTACTACTTTTCCTAGCCTAGTATCATATGCAAACTTGGAAATTATACTCTCTGTGACCAGGGCTCCCTCTGTCTCCTATTCTGCTCGACTTCTCCGCCGTGTTTGACACAGTCGACCACTCCATCCTCCTCCATCTTAGTGGGACTGCACTCGCATGGTTCGAGTCCTACTTGACTAACCGCCAACAATTTATCTTGGCAAATGGGGTCTCCTCCCTCCCTGCCCGGTCACCTGTGGGGTACCCCAAGGCTCCATCCTTGGCCTCCTTCTTTTCCTCATTTACATGCTCCCTCTTGGCAATGTCAACTTCCATATGTATGCGGAT